ATTGTGAGCATGTTAGCATGTTGAGGTTAGCTTTTAGCTCAATGCCCCTAAAAACTAGCCAATGAGACAGCTTGTACATAATCATCTAGTTTTCATTGACAAAATATATTTCGTCATATTTCTTCAATGTTCATTAGTTTTTATTTTGTTTTAGTTTCGTTTTTGTTGCGTAAAAAAGGTTTGCAATAAATATTTTCCTCATAGTTTTTGTTGAAGAAATTAAGATCCAGGTTAGTTGAACTTAAATGGACGAGAAAAAAAATATAATAAATCTGGATAAGCTCTTGGCTTCTTTCCCCGTTGGATCTATTCTTAGCGATGACGCCACATTCAGAGATCTTAACAGTTACTTTGGTGAGTAGTTGTATAATGTTGTCATTCGGTTTCAAAAATAAAACCACAGGTTGTAATGAACCATAGTTTTCTTTTAATACTGTACATGCCTTTTTCATAATGTAGTATTTAAATTGTCACCAGATAGATAGATAGATAGATAGAAGATAGATAGATAGACTGATAGATAGACTAGAATAGATAGATAAATAGAGAGTTGTCAGTGAGAACTGGAAGGACTCAACTACTTCATCCGCTACACTAAGACCATGAGCAGAAAGGTGTACAGAGCTGCACAGGGTTGATGCTCAGTGGAATAGGCAGAACCTGTAACCCCTGTAAACTACAGCGAGCCACTGAATTCAATATTATTGCTAAAAGAACAGTTTAAATGGAGTTTTGAAACCTTCTGCAGTCATTGGTGAGAATAAATAAATAATAAATTCACTTTTTTTAGGTTTAGGTTTTCTTTGTTATAATGCTTTCATGAAACTTTCTCTCTAACTCCGTTATAAAGAATTGTGCTGAAAAAGGACGATGCATGAGGACTCCTCCAGTGGTGCAGGCTGCTTGCGTAGGGGACCTCCTCTAGAATAGATTAATGAGCCATCAGCTGAGAGTCCAGGGGAAAAACCCTGTGCTGCTGTAGAAGGAGAAACGAGCTGCCTACTCTTACATTTCAGTCTCAACACACTCCCCCTTGTGGAATTAATGAGGCCATAAGTGTTAAGCCTACTTTTTTGGATCAATATCACACTTTCAACAATCAAGTCATTTCTGAGCAGGATTAGGCAAATAATAACTGTTAGTTAGACAGATGTATATTATACCTCTGTGAATGCAGACAGGTGTATTCTTGTCTTTTGCTGATGTAACAGGAGATTTATTATCCCTAACAGTTATAGGAAATGTGAGTTTTAAAACATAGTTTAAACAATCATATTTTTTGGCTTATATATAATTATGTTGGTGAAATACATGAATCAGGATAAAATGTATTTTCATCCTGAGTCACTATTGTTTTCTGTTTAACTCTTGTTTGATGAAATAATTAACTTGTATGCTTTAATTAGGGTAAACTGTGTTAGAACATGACCTCTTAAAATGCTGGTACAAATACAAGGGCAACAAAAGTTTAAAAAAAAAAAAAAAAAAAAAAAAAAAAAAGAGAAGTGTAAACTGTTCCTCGGACCACCAAAGCACTTGAATATTTAAGTCTGGGGTCATTGTGAAAGTAACAGAAGCATTCATGCCAACTTATGTAGAAAGCAGGTGGTCGCCGATGTGGAGCTCGCACACCATAAATAGCATGAACCAGGCTAGACTCATGATGACAATGGAAATCTAGCACAAAAATAGAGCAAAACGGGCAAACCACAAATCACAGGTGTTGTAGCTTGTTAAGGCCCTGAACCACAGCAGACTTATTCGAGTGCTGCATTTTTCACTTCCTCTGTTATTTGGGTTATTTGGCTGGCTGTAATTCGGACACATGAAGAGGCACTCTGTTCTATGGATAGATGACCACAAAACACTCCGCCAGCTGCTGCTTCTCAATGTTTTTTTCTTTCTTTCTTGGAGATGGGACATTGACTAGGAAAAAGTAAGATACAGTTGTGTGGCATAAAAAAGTAGTTACCATCTGTTTTATCTGCCATTTCCACATTTTTACATTCAGTGTGGTTTTGTGGAATTTGCAGCTGATGGAGGTTGTCAGGGAAGGAAAAACGCATCAATGTTTGATGCACATTAATCCAGCAAGTGTGTCCCTTATCAGAGTGCTAATATCAGCACAGGATATATAGTTTATTTATTTATTTTTTTACCAGGAACTGAGTGTACCAGCTTGTAAAGAGGGGCATCGACAGGGTTAATCTGATCTTGTCTCTTTAAATTAGTTTAAAGTCTTACAGCTGAATTTTGGGCCATCTGAGGTGACAAATGAGTCTACACTAACGGGAATACCATGTACTTTTGTTGAAGACTATTTAGAAACCTAATATGCAATCTTTCAAAACCCCTTTTGTAAAACTGATAAAACTGATAAATTCAATGAAATCTATAAATGTGTGATACATACTCTCTTTCTGGTCTTTGTCAGTGCATGGGCTGCAGGATTTTAAAAGTAGACTTTCAGATAAAATTTCCTTTTTTGTGTGATTTTTACCTGTTTCCTAACTTAT